GTAGGTCTCTTTTGTCTTAGTAAGGGTGAGATCATGTTATCGAAGCATGAATAGTTGGGTAAGTGATAAGGATTTGTGTTTATTTGATGCTCTAGCATGTTTGTGTGATATTTTTTTTTTAATATAAAAATGTTGTGCATGTTGTTTTTCTGAAAACCGGGCTGTGTTTATGATATTGATGTTTCAGTTTTAAAGTATTGATATTGAGGCTTGCTTAACGTGTAATTTACATGATTTCGAGGCCATGTTGTGGTACGGACATTTTAAGTTGTTAAAGGCATGAAAAACTCAAAATTCGAGCCTCAGTTGTTCTCTGTTTTTGCCGACCAAGAAGTTGTTTCTTGGACAAGTGTTGTTTTTTAGTTTTGTAGTGCTCTGAGTTATGTTTTGGTGAGTTTTTGAATTTCGTGATTTGGAGTTGAAATGGGTTTTATACGAATTTTTAAAATTAGACAAGCATGCAGTTTTTATAAATTCGGGCAGAAACTTTGACTTTAGTTCATGGCTGTTTTTTGGTGATCCTAACATGCCGGTATGAAAATGCATTCTTCATGGCAAATGTAGTATATGATGGAAGATGTCTGTACGAATTAGAATTATACAATTTGGAGTTTCATTTGATTTTATATGATTTTTCAAAATGGGATGTACACCCAGTTTTTATGAAACCAGGATTTTGTTTAAGTGTTGAATATGTGCTCTGTTTAGGTGACCTAAACGTGTTCTTACGAAAAAGTCTTCTTCATGAAATTTGCATATTTCCATGTGTATATTCTTTACATTTTGAGTTTGTATGAATTGGAGTTGTGTAGCTTGAGTTGTTGCCATTTTACTAAGGTGTTGTATTTTCGAAAAATTGTTCTCTGTCTGTTTTTGCAAACTAAATATTTTATATTCAAACTCGTTGATAATGTTATAATTTGTCAATGGGGTCTTTAGAGAATTTGTAGAGAATTGAGTTAGCTACCATGGGTTTTTGAAATCCAGTAATATCATGTCTGTAGATTCGGTTATTGTGCATACACTGAGAACCTGTCAAGCTGTATACCTTCATTTATCCACTACACCTATGTTTTGGATGTATGCTGTATTATGTGCCTTTAAATGACTTTATCTGCCTGAGTGTTCTTCATGAAAGTGATAGAGACATGAGTTATGGATATTTTTCAAGTGGTTTCATCATGATATGATTTGTAGACTGAAAGCTACATGCATTTTAAATTTAACACGCATGCTGAAAATTAGTGCAAGTTCATGTTTAGGTTTCCAAAATGAGTTGTGAATTTCAGAAATTAGCTTTTCGTCAATTTTCATGTATGTGTGCCCTATGTGACTTAATCTGATTAGTATTATAATGTTGGCTAGAAAACACTTGCAAGAGAAGCTTTACGTTAAGATCTCGAAGTGTGGAAGTTATAAGCTGTATATGTGGTCGATCTCGTTTAGGACCGCCGGCACGATTAGCCACTACAAGAATTCTGAAAAAATATGACAAAAAAAATTGTCATAAAAATGTGAATTTTCGTCACCGAATAATTTTTATGACGAATTTTTAGTGTCACAGAGTTTGTCACTGTAGCCGCGTCATATTAGATCTATATGACAATTTTTTCAATTTGTCATCTAATGTTTAGTGTTTGTGATAAAAATTAGTATTGTCATTGTACCTTTGTGAGATTTGGTGACGATTGATTTGTCACATTTATCATAAAATGTTTGTCACAAAATTATCTAATTGTCACTAAAAGTTATCCTTTATTTGACGAACATATATGGTTTCGTCATCTAAAAAATCACATATAATGACAAAAATTAATTTTATCGTCATCTTTATTAAAATATAATGACAATCAGTTTGTCTCAATTTCCATATAAGACTTGTCATCTATAATATAATTTGTCATAAAAGAGTTGTATTATAGTTACAAAAATTTATTTGTCACCAATGAAATATTTATAATGACGAACAAACATGTCACATAACACTATGTTTTAATGATGAAATATTCTTTGTCACCAATAAAAATATTTATAATGACGAACGAACATGTCACATAAAAGTACGTTTTAATGATGAACCATTCCTTGTCACCAGATGAATATATTAAAGGTGATGATATATTTAGTCATAGGAAGTTCGTATTATATGACATGATGTTTATCGTCACCAAATGTGTATAAAAATATGACGATATATTCTATCATGAAAAAGTAAAAGTATATGACGCAAAAGACAATTGTCACTAAATATGTAGGTATAATGACTATAAATTTGTCATAATCAAAGAATATCTATGACAAATGTACCGTCACTTTAATGAACTTTAGTGTGACAAACTATTAGTCATAAATAAGCCATCTTATGCCACAAATCATGAATTTATATTTGACCATACGTTGTGTCACGAAAGATTGCTTTTAGTTACCAATTGAAAATTATCAGAAAAATCCATATTAATACTATTGCAATTAGCCAATAAATTAGATATGAAATAACAACATATTTAAAGATAATGAGTATCAATAGAAGGAATGACTTGAAGTATTCATAATTGAAAACAAAAACAATAGTACTTGTAATATTAAGTAAAAAGACACTAAATAAATATATAAGAGATAAATCTGCAAATCCATAGGCTTATTTTCTACTCTCGCTGAATTACACATTGTCGGAAATGTCTTGGTAAATCCACTAGCATCCATTCACCTGTAAATTTAAAACATTTAACTTAGCACATATATTTTCATTTATCAAAGCATATTTTCACAAAATAAAAAATGAGCCCCATTGTTTATATTAAACTGTTTACCTCAACTATTTCCTTTGGAAGCCATGAATGCCTTAAGCTTTTCAATATCTGCACCTTGTTGGCCCATTAAGTTCTCCATGTCATTAACTTGTTCCATGAGCTCACTCACTCGTGATTCTGATGCTATTAGCTTTTCTTGAGTTTCCTGAAGCTCCTTTTCCTTTTGAAGGTATTGGTTGGCGGGAGCATAAATGCGTTTATTTAAGTGGTTCGTCTGATAACCAAGTCCCTTTAGATAAGTAGATCTTGGACCAAGCACCTCGTGAACTATTTATTGGTTCGTCTTCTCAGGACCTTCCGCTGCATATTTTTCTCGCCTCGATACCATCAGCTCCTGATGGATTACAAACATATATCTACCTATCTAAGAAAATAACAATACCAGTAGCAATATGAAAATGTGAGTTACCCAATTTTCTTTTGCCTCATCAGTTGACCAACCATGTTTATCAGTGCAATGTGTGAGTTTGTAGAACTCAATTATGTCCCCAGCATCAATTATGTCCCCAGCATCTCCATCAGCATCTCCATTAGCAACTCTATTAACATCCTTTTGAGCCTAGCAAAGAATAAAAATAAAAATAAAATGTACATGATATGAACCTTTTTCTAGAAACATAATTGTAAAATATTTAAAACAGAGTTCGTCCCAGGATATGAACCTACATATAAGAATAAAATGTACAGGATATGAAAAATAAAATGTACAGGATATGTAAATATTGTAAAACATAATTGCATGTTTACAACTTACAATTTCATGTTGAAGGGTAGAAAAAGGAGTTCTGCCAGATATATGCGGGGTCCTTAACATTTGTCGATTCATAGTGTTAGTTGAACTTTGGTGCTGAAAACAAGAAATTGCAACATAAGAAATATCCCCAAAATATATCAATAAGAGTACCAATCTCAAGAGACGTTACCTTGAACTTAGCTGATGCAAAATAATCACAGAGTTCGTCCCAATTTTCTTTACTAGCACAGAATGGTGGCTTATTATTCTTAGCCTCTTCTGGGGTTGCATACTTCTTGTAATGCTTATGTAACCTGTAACGAATTTGTCGAGAGGTAGATTTCAACCTATCAACCAAGCAGTGCCTCACACCCGGTACATCCAAGTTGACATCCATATGAATCTGAACATCACATTTAACAAATTTTTACATATACAAGAAAAAGAAAACATGTCATTTTTATTATTATTTTATAGCTACCTTTATATGATCAATGCCTGGTTCCAACAAATTTTCTTCAGCCATTTCTTTCCATTTTCTTGGCACTGGAAGGACATCTCGAGCTACTACACCAATTTGACTTGAGAGCTTTGCAGATTGCTCTCGACTTTTGGGCCATCCTACCAGTGGATCTACATCTATCTTCACTTTCTTTCCAGAGGCATGAAATGCTTTCATAATTCCTTTACCCATTGTTTGACCACGTCTTCTCTTAGGGATGGAAGCTTTGTCTGGTAACAAAGAACATTACATTTCATTAATAGAGAACACATATACTAATTCGTTGCAACTATTTCATTCAGAGTTTGTAAGACTCTAACTCATCTATAAATCAAAATACAATTGTGCAACATTGACAGACAAATAAGTGGACAAAATGCGACAATCCAAAATAAATTCATGGTTTTTTTTTTCTAATATGCCTACACAAATATTTTCAAGAAAGCATGAAATTAAATATATTCTTTGTTCATTAACAGCATGCACAAGCACAACTCCAACATGCACCAGCTACTAGCATGCACAACAAAATAATCCACAAGTCACAACATGCACAATATGCACAAAAATAAAAAGACAGAATGCACAGCAATAAGAAATAAGAACATTCATGGTTCCAAACATGACGATAGCAATTTGATAGCAATTCTGTTGATATTGTTGAAATCAATATTTGAATTGACGGGAGAGAATTTAAGAGGACACCATTTCTTATTTCAGAGAAAATATATAGAGCTTACACTCAGAAAAGGAACAAGACGATGAGATATATCTCGCGTCCGTACATGCATCCATGTTCCCAAGCAAAAACGACAACGTTTTGATAAGTAAAATAGAATGAGCAAAAAATGGGAAAAAGGAAGCATGTCTTAGTAAGTAAACAACAACAAACTCCAACATAAAGAAAATAGCAGAAACAACTACTCCAACAGTAAGTAACTATGAGCAACAACAACTAATTATTCACTGGAGCAAAAGCAACAAAGTCCAACATCACGAAAATAACATAAACAGCAACTATTCACCGATAACAACAACTATTCCAATAGTTATCCTAAGTAAAAAACATATTGTACCTCCAACTATTCCTACAGCTATCCTAAGTAATGAACATATTGTACCTGTACCTGTGACTGATGTATCCTGAAGGTTACCAGTTGAGCCTTCAGCTGCATTCAAATTCTGATTTGGGTTGGAAGCTTCAAGGGTTTGTGGAATGCCACTCTCATTAGTGTGATTTGTTGTAGTATTATCACCTTCTCCGGAAGAACCATGATGAACTTCAGTAGTTCCACTTGCTCCAGTTACTCCAGCAGATGACACATTTGATTGGTTAAAATGTTCTCTGACTCCAATACGAGCTGACGCAGCAGTTGAGCTATCCTTGGTAGCTTGGTTAAGCATGCTTTGTAGAGCAGCTTTTGAAATAATTTGAGTTTTACGGATTCCTGGCGCCATTCTTAGAAATCTACATATGACAACAAAAATTTTATCATTGCAAAACCAATTTTGAAGAACTAAGAAATACATAAAAAGAAAATGCCTATTTATCGAAAAAAGAACACATATAGTTAACTTACGCATTCCAATGGTGATTATACATGTTATGACTCTATTAATATTTATTCTGGTGTGGATGGCGGGCAGGCCTATATTCCTTGGTTTTAATAGGACTCCTATATATATATAGTTCTTAGAATTCCCTAAGAACATAATATGAAAGATATTGAGAAAATAACACATGTAAGACTTAATAATAAACAAAACATTACACCTTCAGTTGCCTTTTATGTGTATAAAAGATGAAAAAAAATCTGTATAAACAAAAATTTTATACACAGATAAATATAGACTTCATCACCAAGAAAACATAGAATCAGAAAATGAATCAGAATACAAGTGAGCCAAAGATAGAATTAGAATATGAAATAGAATATGAAACAGAATATGAAAGACAAAACTTTACACTTTCAACTGTTATGATTATACAAACACAGAATCAAAATATGAAAAAGAATATGAAACAGAATATGAAACACAAAAGTTTACACCTTCAGCTATTATAATTATGCAAAGATAGAGTCACATATTTTGATTATACAAAGATAGAATCAGAATAAAGGTGATCCAATATAAAAACCTGTAAAAACACAAATTTTATACAAAACGATGAAGAAACTTCACCAGGAAAAGATTGTAGGGAGGCGTGTGTTTTGCAACTATTTTTTTTTTTATGTATTGCTAAGTAAAACCTATTTGGGTATATATATTTGAGCAGAATAAAAAAGGGAGAGATTGACGGAGGCACGAAATCATTAAACCCTTTGTTTCTATACCCTGATTAGATAAATAAATTCCTAATTAAGCTGAAATTTTGAGCGCCAAGAATTTTTGTCCCGCTAATTGTTTTGGTAGATAAAAATTATAATTTTCTTTTTAATTTTTTAATTTCTATTGTATACAATAGGTACCTGTGGTGCCCGATCACCATGGGCGTGATGAGGTCTCTGGTGAGCCTCTGCACCACCGTGACCGACGACGGGACCTCCATCGAGAAGTGGCTTTCCCTTGGCCACACCACCTGCTCCGCCACGCTGCAGACTCGGCCGTCCGCTCACACCACCCCCAACCTCACCCTCCACCGACTTCAAAAACAACCTCGCACTGTCGCTTCCATAAGCGCCAAAGAACTGCTGCAAAAACCTTTCTCCATTCACAGTCCATGATCATAGGTAAATCATGGTTCCATAGGAAATTATCAAACCACGGAACTGGATCCATATCAAATAACTCAACCCACACCTTGAAAAAGGAATAGTTGCACAATCAATGCTTTCATAAAAATAGTTTCTTACTGCTTGAGATTTTGTGTTGCGAAAAAAAATGGACTGGCTTTGGGTAGTGGGGCGTAGATGCAAGACTCGTCGACCTCCAGATAGCACACGATCTCCGCCTACATCCTTGTCCTCGCCAACGATTTCGAGCACCAATTAGGAATCAGATTGGGAAATGAGATCGATTTCTAGATTGAATTCCTATTCCCTCGTAAAATTGATTCAGTTTTTAGCTTGCAATTAGGAGATGAGATCGAACCAGTGGCTTTGGTCTACAAGTTAGGTTGAAATTGGGGAAAGACAATTGGTATGTGGTAGAGACATTGCCCGACATTTTTTGCCGAGTGATGAGAATGAGAAGGATTTTCATTCAGTTAAAAACTTAATTGGTATAATTTGGATTCTTAATGGCACTTTAGAAATTTTAGGCTATTAATAAGTTTAATAATATTGCAAAAAAAATAAAAGATAAGTTTAATAATATTGCAAAAAAAATAAAAGATAAGTTTAATAAGGCATATGACATAATATTTTATATAATAATTTGTTAATTAAATATTTTATATAATTTAAAAATATATTGGTTCTGTAAACCTTGAAAAATAGAAATCTTATCTCAGAAAAGTCATAGACATCAAACGTGCAACATATTCGATCTCCACAATTTAATCTTGAAACTCAAAATAAAAATTGTCTTATCTTGTCTAGGCTAACAAACGACCCATTATGATTATTATTACCAATATATTGTATAAGATCTCCACATTTTAATTTTTCTAGCTAGCAAATGTAGATTAACGTGTGCTACAAACACACACATACACACACACACACACACACACACACACATATATATTGATAAATATCAAACTTTGTCTAATCCAATCGCTTCAGATTATCTTAAGCCATGTTTTAAATATCGTAACGGCCGGTATTTAGAACACTGATCTTAAGTTCTCTTCAGTTGAGATTCAAACTTTGTTAGCTCGACTAAGAGCCGAAAAATATTCGTTAACCATTTAACTTTCTTTGATTCGAAACGAAATATAAATGATTTGTTATGATTCTTGAGATTTAACAAACATACGTACCGAGAACCAAATTCGTCCAATCAGTCCCACATCATACCGGGCTGAATTAAGAAACAAATTATCATTATATTAGATGTGTCTTGTTCATAGATCTTATATATGTCAACTTTAATCATATAATTTGAGTATTTTTAAATTACTTAATAATATATATAGTAATAATTAAACTTCAATTAATTTTCATGCTTAATAATACTTGATTTTTAACTAATTGAAAAGTGTATTTTTATTATATACTAGTTTTACTCCGTGCATTTGCACGAAAAGCGATATAACAGAAGAAAAGGTAATTAAAAATATAAAATAAAATAAAAATTATAACTTTGGAAATGAGAAAAAATAATTTAAAAAGGTGACTCTAAATATTATTAAACAGTCCTTTATATATAACATTCATGGTTTTCCTATTGTCAGAATCCCCATCACAACAAATCATTATCGTTAAATTTTTTCGACTCGTGACTCCGGGCTTTGATTTTTCAAAATATTTGATGCATCTTTGTAATATCCGAAAAAATATTTTTTATTATTGTATGACTGCAATAGAAAATAGAGATATTTAAAGTTATTTTTTATTAGTTGTGAAATATGTATTTATATAATACCAAAAAAAATATAGTATTAAAAAAAAATATATATATTTTGTATTTCAGGACATAAAAAGACGTTACATAAATGGGATCTGTCAAAATAAATTGTGTAACTGAAAGTTACATATTTTTATTAATTGTGTAACGGAAAACTCAGGAGATCGAAGCCCACCACCCTACCCACCACCTCTATCGACTTCAGCAGCACGACCACTCACGGACGCCATTGACCACCTCCACTAGAGAGAGAATAGGGAGCCAAGCCCCTAACTTCAGACCGACAGCTCACGCGCCTACTCGAACTCGTCAGAAGAGCAACTTGAACGAACATATTATGTGGTTTTAAGGACGAAAGTAAAGGTGTCATGCATAGAATATTCTTTGGTGACAAATAAAATTCATCATTTTTTCGTAACAAATTTTATGAAGAAACATCATTCGTCGTAAGAAAACCGTCATAAATTATTTGAATTCAGTGACGAAATTAAATAATGTCGTAAAATAATAATCTTTGGTGGCGAAATTTAAATTTGTCATTGTTACTAACACAATTGTGACAAAATATAATTTGTCACAAATAGAATCGTCATAAACTATTTGAAGTCAGTGACGAAATTAAATAATGTCATAAAATAATAATCTTTGGTGGCAAAATTTAAATTTGTCATTGTTACCAACACAATTGTGAAAAAATATAATTTGTCACGAATAGAATCGTCATAAATTATTTGAAGTCAGTGACAAAATTAAATAATGTCATAGAATAATAATCTTTGGTGGCGAAATTTACATTTGTCATTGTTACTAACACAATTGTGACAAAATATAATTTGTCACACATAGAATCGTCATAAAATATGTAATATATTGACGAAAATAAGTGGTGTCATAAAAAAGATATTCATTTGCGACAAACAATATATTTTGTCATATTAGCTTACAAATTGTGATTAAATATTATCCGTCATAATAAAATCCATCACTAAAAATGTGATTTAATGATGAAAATAAACAACGTCATAAAATTCTATTTAACGGTGACGAAAATATACTTTGTCATTGTTGCCTGACAAACTATGACGAGAAGTCATCCATCACAGACAATATTTTTTTATAAATGTGACGAATTTACATGTTTAGGTGACAAAGTGAGATGTATTGTCATGAAAAGTACGTTTATGTGATGCAAAATTAATTCTAAGATGACGCATGTAGCAACCGTCGCCGTATGCAATGATTTAATGACGATTTTTAAAATTCGTCACCATAAGGCTACATACGGTGACAATTCTTTTTTCGTCACAGGAAATTTGTCACTTTTTGACATATTTCTTGTAGTGCTACCTGAGTAAAAGCTGTCGTGATGGCCGACATTGTTAGTCGGAAGGGTCAAGCGAGCTAACCATTCTTATGTTTGGCAATGACCATGGAGTTAGGATTTCTCCGGGCAGTGATGTCAATGTTCGATTCCTATGGGAAATTGTAGCTCAACAGTGTTGCTTAAACTGTTGTGGTTTGGGAAGTCTTGTAGGGAAACCTTTCCCATCTGAGTATCTAAGAATCTACGGACCCGGAAATTGAAATTTTTGGTATGTACCTTGAACTGAACGCCGGACCTGGATGGGTGTAGCCACGCGAAGTGGTGGCCGAGCCCGCACGCCCGTGCTGAGAGACGTGAGGCCAACTACAGTGGCCGACCGTTGACTCGCACGAGAGCTGCCGCCGCCATCACCGAACGCAGGAACTCCCCAGGCCAGAGTGTACGGCCAAACCTTGACCTTGCAGCCGGTCTCTGAACAGGTGCACGCACGCGTCCCAGCGCCCCGCTTATGCAGCGCTAGTGTGTGTGTCATCTCTCGGGTGACAGTGCATTAAACTCTAAACCGACT